CCTTGATTTTGAGCAGCAGCCATAAGAACACTAGTCCTCGGGGTGCTCTTTTTGAAAATATATACTTATATAGTCTTATAGTATAGTCTGATCCCAAGCCCGATTCTAATCGTTAAGGTCCCTATATGATGAGGGTTTAATTGTTCGGGGGTGTGGGTGTGAGGCGTTTAGGGTTTGGGGTTAGGTTTCAGAGTGAAGAGGGTTCAGGGTTTCGAGTTTAATAAGCATGTGTTACTTGAAATCCTGGAAAATCCCCACAGGACTATGTGCTTCGATCCTGTGAGGGGTCCCCAAACCCTCAAACCTTAAACCGTAAACCCTANNTAAACCCTAAACACTCAACCCCTGAACCTTCAACCCTAAACCCTAAACACTCAAGCCCTTAACCCTCAAACCCTAAACCCTTAACCTTAAAGCACCCATGAGCCGCGAACGGGTGCCTACGCTGAGGGTCCACGTATCCCCTTGGGAGGGTTGCACAACAGCTTCATGATTTTCGTAAGATCCCATAATGGTTGCCCTGAGCCTCAAACCACGTATCATGGAGGGTTTCGGATATAGAGTTTAGGGTTTAGGGTTTAGGGTTTAGGGTTTAGGGTTGAGGGTTCAGGTTGCCCAGGGGTGAGTATGGAATCTCGGTTCTTGAGAAGTCTTGGAGGGAATGCAGGGGTTCTGTCCATGATAAGTAGCCCGATCCTAAACCCTAAAGCCCCGAGCCCTAAAACCGTATACCCTTAACCCTAAAGCCCTAAACCCTCAAGCCATTGACCCTAAACTCTAAACCCCAAAGCACTAAACCCAAACCTCTTCACCTTAAAACCCTAAACCCTAACTAGACCCTAAAGCCCTAAACCGTAAACACTCAGCCCGAACCCTTGAAGCCTAGTCCGGCAGTAGACGTGCATCACCTGGGTTTAGGATCACCTTGGGACCTTGGGCCCCAAACCGTTATGAGGGGTTTAAGCTTCAGGATTTAGGGTTTAGTGTCGGCTCCAGGGTTTAGGGTTTAGTTTAGGGTTTGGGGTTTAGGGCTTTAGGGTTCAGGGTTTAGGCTTCATGATTTAGGCTCCGGGGTTTAGGGTGTAGTTCAGGACTTTTCATCCCGGACCCTGAAACCCGAACCCTGAGTCTAACCTAAACCCTGAACCCTACGGCCTCGACGCCACACCCCGAAGTTTCAATGCCCGAAGATATGGCGAGTCTGACGAACGAGTCATGGAATCAACAGGTTCGGGGGTGGAGTGTTTGGGATTTCGGGGTTTAGGGCTTCGGGATTGTGCCATCCCATGTGTTTAGCATAGCCAGAGGGGCATGATTGAAGCCGCGCCATCCCAGCACCCGAAACCACAAACCGCAAACCGCAGAGGCATGACCATCCAGTATGATGAGCATCCCGCTGTCAATGTGGTTGACTTGATTGGCAAGGCGACGACACTCCCAACTTGCAACCCCACCCTTACACCCCAAACCCCAATCCCTAAACCCCAAAACAACCCTAAGCCCCAAACACTAAATCTCAAGCCCCAAAACCCCAAACCTCAAACCCACAAGCCAAGTCTTAAACCCAAACCCTAAACCCAAAGCCATAGATCCTAAACCCGAAACACCTTAATTCCTAGATTCCTAAACCAAAGCCATAGACCCTGAGCCCTAAGCCCCGAAAGCCCTAAACCCAAAGCCATAGACCCTAAACCCTAAACCCTAAAGCCCTAAAGCCCAAACGCAAAGCCATCGGCCCCAATCTTAAGCCCAAAATCCGGAACCGCAAGCCCGGCGAGCCAAGCCCGTGGCCCCCCTAAGCCAAAATTATAGAATCTCTCGGGTTTAGGATAGTTTAGGGTTTAGGGTTTCGGATTTAATGGTTTAGGGTTTCGGATTTAGGATGGGTTAGAGTGTAGAGTTTCGGGTTTAGGGTTTAGGCCCTTTGGAAGAATCATGTAAAGGAACGCTGTATGGGCTCAAGATTTCGAGTTCTAGCCCAGCCCTTCCAGTGAGGGCGAACTGCCCAACACCCTTCGATCCTGTCGCTTACGGTTGTTTCTGCTCGGGAATGCTTAGGCCTTTGGGAATAAGGGTGAAAGGTTTCGGGGTTAGGATTTCAGGTTTGGGGGTTTGGCTTTAGGATCCCTTTGTTAGGCCATCGACTTTAGGTGTCAGGGTGAAATGTGCTCACCTTCAACGGAAGCGCGCAACCCAAGATCTGTTCTTCCATACAAACCCAATATCCAAAACCCCAAACTAAACCCCAAAACCCTAAACCTAATGTCAGCAAGGTACCTCCCCTTACTTAAAGAGGACGGACGTGTTCCCAATATCCAAAACCGCAAACTAAACCCTAAACCCAAGGTTGACAAGGCACCTCCCTTAATTAAAGAGGACGGACGTGTTCTTCCGCAAGCTCCAGACGCACCCAGGGATCTGGAACGAAGCCACCACCGACTATTTCCCAGGCGACAGGATACTCACCGGTGACCGGGCGCTGAATGTTAGGGTTTACGTAGGGTTTAGGGCATGCTCAACTTTACTGACTTGGTTCTTACGGCTGGGAAGACAGTTTGTGCCTCTGCGTCCCTCAAGGAGCTATTTTTTGGCGTTCAGGCGTGCCTCGTCAGTCTCCTTCAAGAGCGAGCAAGAGGACGAACTCCTGTCAAGAGCCATGGTGGACAAAGCATTACCCGAGTCCCTTGCCAGACTGGAATCTGCAGGGGAATTGTTGTCCAAGTGCCCAGATAGTAGGGTTTCAGGGTCCAAAAACCACTCAGAGTATGGATTTTGGGACCTAAAACCTTACTATTTGGGTACTCGGACCCTCTGGGTCAGGTTGTTCCAGGAGACCGAGAGAAGTACCACGTATAAATATCTCTGCTGGAGTTTCAGAAGATACGGCACCAGAACATAGACCGTAAGTACCAGGATCCTCAATCAACTTACCCTAAACACTTAAGCCCTAAACCCTGACTCTTAAACCCCGAAGCCCCTTTAGTAAACCCGAAAAAGTTGGAAACCGGATTCAGGATATGGATATAATAGTGCTGGGATTCCCTGTACATTACTTACATTACTTTTAAGGATTGACGCTATTAGGTTCCCAACTTTGGGCTTCTACTATAAACCCTAAACCCTAAACCCTAAACCCTAAACCCTTAACCCTAAACCCTAAACCTAAACCCTGGATCCTACATCTGCTGATCTCCGACGACTCACGAGCAATGAGCAGCCCATGGCTTCTCCGTGGAGTTTAAGGGTTTAGGCATTTAGGGCTTCGGGTTTAGGGTTGAAGGGTTAAGGCGTTTAGTGTTGACTAGGGCTTCGGTGTAGGGTTTATTAGGTGTTTAGTAGTTTTTGGGTTTAGTATGTTTGAGGTTTAGGCTTCGAGAGCTTATCCGCGGAGGGGGATAAACATCAATTGGACATACAGACGGCAAAACATGTTTCAGCATACTGGGATACCGCTAACCCTGAGCCGGAAGCACTACACGAGAAGGAAGAAGGGCCCTGAAACCTGAGCAATGTCATGCCTTCAGGCTCCTGAAGGGATTTCAATTTCAAATAGCAACCCCCGAACCGTGGGTGTTTTGGGTTTAGGGATTCAGGCTCAAGGGTTTAGGGTTTAGTGTCTCAGGGGTTTAAGGAGGGTTTAGAGCTTAGGGTATAGGGGTTTCCCTCTTTCGCTGGCAGTGCTGGGCCGGATGCTGAGACTTCCGAGTGCGGTGATGGTGGTTAATGTACGGGCCTTGATAATTCGAATAGGGTTTTGGGGCTTCCTTCTTCTTATGGTTTTATGGGCCCCAAACCCTATTCTAATTATTAAGGCCCCTACATTATAGCAGCGGTATCGGAGATTGCCTCGCCTTTCGTGATGAACGTGGAGTTCTTACAAAGTGGAAGAACCCCCTAAACCCTAAACCCTAAACCCTAAACCCTAAACCTTCATGTTTAGACTGGTATTTCCTTGCACGTTAGGCAAATCCTCGAATTTGGGAACCCCAAAATGTTCCCCCCCAAAACATCCCAAAACCGAACCCGCCAACAACTGGACCCCAAATGGAAAACCCGAAACCCTCCCTACACCCTAAACCCTTGTAGCAATTATCCCTTAAGCCTGTCCTAAACGCTGAACCATCGAGCCCTCCCGAAGCCACCCTTAAACCAGCGGCCCATAGGCACTGAAACCAATCGAAGAGCTCTAGGCCCTGTATTCATACCCTAAACGCCAAACCCTAAATTACATTCCTAGGCCCTATATTGCTACCCTAAACCCCAAACCCTAAACCCTAAACCCCCCAAAAAAACACCCTAAATTAGATTCCTTATCGCCCTTGTAGTTTAGTCACCCCCTATAAAGGCGGCCCAATAGTCACCCGTAAGCCCTAAGCCCTAAACTCCCCCTAAACCCTAAACCCTAAACCCTGAACCCTTAACCCTAAACCCTGAACCCTAAACCCTCAACCCTGAACCCTATACACCCTAAACCCAAAACCCTGAACCCTTAAAGCCCCCATTGAAGGTGGTCTGGCCGAACATTGAACTCGCCCGGCCCTCACCTAGCGCAAGGGTCGGCCGCAGGCTTCCAAAGCGTGCGATGCGCTAGGGTTCAAGGGTTCCGAAGCAGAGTTCTGTAGGGGGTTTAATATGGGTTCGAAAATCTGCATGTTCCCCGCCTGAGCTCTGTCTGGAAAAGGGACCCTAATGTAGAGAACTACCCACATGAGCTCTTTCTGCAGATTTGGCTTATCTTGGCTGGTCTAGATTCAGACCCCCGGTCCTTCGACGGAAAGCACGCCAGGCTGAGCAAAGGCTCGTTTCCCGGGCTGCTTCCGACGAAGTTGGATGCACAGAAGAAGCGCAAAAGCAACTGAATAAAGTTACGTATCACCCTGTATAAAGTACAGAAATTCCTGCTGGGCCTGGTTTGCTAGGCCGTTTATATACTTCTATAAGCTTTTTTTGCGGCTGTTGGATGGCCACAGAGCGTGGTGCCTCCGCTCCTTTCAACGGACATGACGTCAGTGCCTCCGCCTCATCGGTATCCTCGTCGCTCGGTAGGGCTTTGGGATTTTTTGTTTTAAAGTTTCCCTGAATTTACTCACCGTTTAAGGTTTGGGGTTTAGGGTGGTAGGGCACGAGTACTTTCCAGAGGCAGCAAAGTGCCAACCTAGGTCAGGTTCATCATCCCGGTGGGTTCGCCGTCTCCATGAGTCGCGGTGGCACATTGGGTTCAGGGAATGAGTGGTATCGTTAGTTTTAGGATTTGGGGCTCCCTGTGTGGTGTTGCATACATTACATCTTTGTTTGGGAATTCGAAAACCCTAAACCCTAAACCGGCCCTAAACCCTAAACCCCTAGACGAAGAGCCCAGGAATCGATTCTCACAGACCTCCAAGATTCAGACGAGCTTGAGGGCCCAGGTGAGGATCACGATGCAGAGGACTGGGCTCATACGGTTTAGGGTTTAGGGTTTAGGGTTTAGGGTTTAGGGGGATAATGAGGAAACCCTGTTGTTAAGGCTTTAAAGTTTAGGGATAATGAGGAAACCCTGTTGATAGGGCTTTAGAGTTTAGGGATAATGAGGAAACCCTTGTTAAGGCCTCAGGGTTCAGGGATAATGAGGAAACCCCGTTGTCAAGGCTTTAGAGTCTAGGGATAATGAGGAAAATCTGTTGTTAAGGCTTTAGATTTTAGGGATAATGAGGAGACCCCGTTGTTAAGGGAAAATCTCTTGTTAAGGCTTCAGGGTTTTAGGGACAATAAGTATGAAACCCTGCTGTTAAGGGCTTTCAGAGTTTAGGGATACTCGGGAAGCCCTGTTAAGTACAAAAGACATAGAGAGCATCACAGAGCCCTAGTGTGGTAACTTAACTTGGCATTCTTCTGGCTGGCTCTTAAAACTTTAACTTTCTAGGTTTCGATATGAACTATAATAAGTAGGCTAAAGGTATAACTTTTCGGAGGCGGTCAGCCAAGTTAAGTTAAGTTTCGTAAGAGCACAGAGGAGAGCGAAGATCTGGGAGCACAGCCAGCCCGGGGATTACCGAGCAGCCAGCCCGCTTGCGATCCCTGTCTCTTTTTTTTTAGCCGGAGGGGTTGCGAGGTGGCACTTTGGGAGCCGTTTAGGGTTTGGGGTTTAGGGTTTAGGGTTTAGGGTTTAGGGTTTTGGTTTAGGGTTTAGGGTTTACCTAAGGAGCCTTATAGACAATAGAGATACCTGTTTATCATTCCGGAAGCCTTACATAAGCCCAAAAAGGAGAGCCGCAGCCCAGGTTGTACCAAAGGGTCTGCATGCCACTACTGCCACTTGGACCACCCGCACTTCCAGCGTGCGGCCCGCCGACCTCGACGTCAGGCGCGTGAGCGCTACAAGCGCAGTGTACTGCAGCTGCTTGCCCTAAACCCGAAACCCCTGGCCATAAGCCTAAACCCTAAACCACTGACCCCTAACCCATAACCCGAAAACCCTAAAACCCCTACCCTAAACCCCTAAACCCTAAACCCTAAACCCTAAACCCTAAACCCTAAACCCTAAACCCTAAACCCTAAACCCTAAACCCTGTAACCCATAAGCCTAAACTTTCAGCAGCCCTATAAAGATCTCCAAACATCGGGATCCTTCGGGCCCCCAAGGTGGCTTCGAGAAAACCCTAGTGGCGAGATCCGATCAGTTCAAGTGGTCTGGTTTAGGGTTTAGGGTTTAGTGTTTAGGGTTTAGGACTGGGTATTCCGTAGGAATCAGCTGTCATGTGGGTAGTTCTCAAAAATTCGGGTCGCTTTTTCCGTCCACAACATGGCTATGCACAACAAGGGACCCTACTTTAGAGAACACCCATGTGTAGTACAACATAGACCCGGCGGGTTGGTACATGTGTTTCAGTTTGTGTCAAAGGGGCTCACAGAAAATGGAGCAAGGAGTTGCAGAATTGGAGCAGCCCTGCTGGTAAGAGTTTCCGGTTGAAACAGGAGCCGTGATTCCTTGATTGCTCCATCATCGTCCCATGATGTCAGTTTAGGGAGAAGCCCTAAACCCCAAACTGGTTTAGTACCCTAACCCTAAACCTTAAACCCTGAACCCTAAGGTTCCTTGTAACTGGCAAGTATGAGCGAGCGGCGATCTGGCCGGACTCTTCGATTCCCAGGGTCCTAAACCATGCTGACCCCCGAAGCCCAGGGCCCATGTCCATCCCCGGGTTTAGGGTTTAGGGTTCTGATTTAATCATGTATGATAGCCTTATCAATACTTTAAAGCACCCTTCTCTATCCCCTGCCTTGTAGCACTCTTGTTTAATCCTTATAAACCCCTTGCACATCGCAGGAAGCCGTCAGCCTGTTATAATTCTAGTCTCGTAAAGGGATGGGTTTCCAAGAGAGGTATGTAGCTTTGTGGTGCTTTGTGCAACTGCATAAGCTTCAGCAAAAACTCCCTAAACCCTAAACCCGCTTGATCTCCCCCCTGAGCCCTGAACCCGGAACCCTAAGCCCTGAACCCTAAACCCTAAACCCCTAAACCCCTAAAGCCCTAAGCCCTAAACGCTCCTAAGGATCCTGCAATCTTCTGTCTGGTGCTTAGTAGGGAATGGGGGAATGGATCCCTATGATAGTCCCTTAAGCTCCCTTATAGTAGTCCCTATAACCCATTCCCCCATTCCGTACGAAGCACCAGACAGACCCTAAACCCTAAACCCTAAACCCTAAACCCTAAACCCTAAACCCTAAACCCTAAACCCTAAACCCTAAACCCTAAACCCATTCCCCCATTCCCTACTAAGCACCAGACAGTCTTAGGCTCCTTCACAGCCAGCTCGATCTCGAACAGATCCACGACGAACTGCAGGAGCTCCAGGGAGCTTTGTTTCGCGATTTTTTTAGGGTTTGCGGTTTAGGGCCTAGGGTTTGGGTTTAGGGTTTAGGGTTTAGGGTTTAGGGTTTAGGGTTTAGGGTTTAGGGTTTAGGGTTTAGGGTTTAGGGTTTAGGGTTGAGGGTTTAGAATGTAAATTAGTGGGTCGATCATTGTAAAC